TGATATCCTCATCTATAGTAAGTCTAAGGAGCAACACCTTGACCACCTCACACAAGTCTGCTCTACCCTTCGTGCAACTAATCTATATGCTAACGTCAAGAAGTGCTCTTTCTTCACTGACACAGTCATTTTTCTGGGGTTCATTGTCTCTTCGACAGGGGTATCCGCTACTAAGGTTCAGGCGATTATTGACTGGCCTGAGCCTAAAGTTATTCATGATGTCAGAAGCTTTCACGGCTTAGTTACATTTTACCGTCACTTTATTAAGGGGTTTAGCACTATCATGGCGCCTATTACGGAGTGCATGAAGAAAGGGGAGTTTCATTGGACACAAGAGTTTGCTAAGGCCTTTAAGTTAGTCGAGAAACGAATGAAGGAGGCCCCTGTCATGCGTCTTCTTGATTTTTTCAAAGTCTTTGAAGTTGAATGTGACGCCTCCGGGGTAGGTATAGGCGGAGTCTTAAGTCAGGATCGTCACCCTGTTGCCTATTTCAGTGAGAAGTTAAATGAGGCCAAACAGCGGTACTCCACTTATGATAAGGAACTGTATGCAGTGGTCCAGGCTTTGCGCTATTGCCGCCACTATTTGTTACCCCAAGAATTTGTCCTTTATTCGGATCACGAGGCCCTCCATTACCTCAACTCCCAGAAGAGATTAAGTTCTAGGCATGGTCGTTGGGTCGAATATTTACAGGCATATTCATTTGTTTTAAAACACAAGAAGGGCGCATAGAGAACCAAGCAGCTGATGCGTTAAGTCGTCGTGTCTCCCTTTTGTCGATCATGAGTGTCAAGGTCATCGGTTTTGAATGACTTAGGGAGGATTACGAGGCGTGTCCCGATTTTAAAGATATCTTTCTTGATTTACAAAGAGGACAATCAAGCGCCACAGATGGCTTCCGACTTGAGGAGGGTTATTTCTTTAGAGCCAATAAATTGTGCATCCCTCGAACTTCAGTGCGAGATTTCATCGTGTGGAAAATTCATGCGGGAGGGTTAGCCGGTCATTTTGGACGTGATAAAACCATAGAGGAAGTTGAACGTCAATTCTATTGGCCTAGCTTGAAGAAAAAGTGGCTAAGATTGTTAGTACTTGTACCACTTGTTAATTGAGTAAGCAGAAGAAGCAGAACACAGGTCTATACACCCCTCTCCCTGTTCCTAGTTGTCCTTGGCAAGATGTTAGTATGGATTTTGTGTTAGAACTTCCATGCACCCCAAAGAAGCATGACTCTATTTTTGTGGTTGTCGATCGCTTCTCAAAGATGGCTCATTTTATCCCCTGTAGCAAGACATCGGATGCGTCCAAGGTTGCCCTGTTATTCTTTAATGAAATTGTCAAATTGTATGGGCTTCCCAAAACTATCATGTCTGATAGAGACATTCGTTTCAATAGCCATTTTTGGAGAACTTTGTGGCACAAGATGGGTACCAAATTGAAATTTTCTACAGCCTACCACCCTCAGACTGACGGTCAAACTGAAGTAGTTAATCGAAGTCTTGGTAACCTATTATGTTGTCTGGTCCGGGAAAACCTTCGAAATTGGGATTTGATCCTTCCTGTAGCTCAAATTGCGTATAATAGCTCCATAAATCGTTCACTAGGTATGAGTCCGTTTGAAGTCGTTCATGGGTACAAGCCTAGGAAACCGTTAGATCTCATCCCTTTGTCCCCATAGGCTAGAGTGTTAGTATCAGCCGAAGCATTTGCACAACATCTTCGTGACTTGCACATTGAGATCAATAAACAACTTGAAGCTAGTAATGCAAAATATAAACTCCAAGTTGATTTCTACAAACGACATATTGAGTTTAATATTGGGGATTACGTTATGGTTCGCATTAGGCTAGAGCGGCGTCTACATGGACCCGCCTCTAAATTGCAAGCTCGTAGTGCTGGTCCTTTTAAAATTTTAAAGCAAGTTGGTCCAAATGCATATATTGTTGACATTACACCACACCTTGGTTACCACTCTACTTTCAATGTTGAGGACCTTGTAGCTTATAAAAGCCATTTCATTCCCTCAGATGATCCTCTGTCATCTCCTTTTGTGGACCTTGATCCTGATTCTTTGGCCCCTTCTAACCCACTACCACCTCTCACAGCACACACAGAAAAAATTGATGCTATTGTAGATGAAGAAACTGTGTTCACTAATGATGGAGAGGTTCAGCTCTTCCTTGTTCGTTGGGTTGGTTGACCAGATTGTGACTGTGCATGGATCTCCAGGGAGACACTACAGCAATTAAATCCAGATTTGTTAGAGTTTTATTGGAGTCAACAAGATCTTCATTGGCCCAGATCGCCTCCCGTCTACCTGAGAGGAGTTGGTGAGGACACTAGGTTCAGACCGCCACTGACGCATTTCTACAGACGCCAGAAGAAGCTTGCTCAGCCACTCAACCTATGGTTGGGAGATTGACGGATGCCTATGGTGATATAGCCACTCGACAGGGTCGGGTTTTCTCTCCCATCCCGGGAGAATTGATGAGGACATCCCAGTCCAGTTTTAATTATTTTAGTTGGACTTAGATTATTTTATTTTTATGGACTTGTGTATTGGGCTTGGCCCTAGGTTTGCAGTATTTTCAGTATTTAAACATATTTTACATTGTTATTTTTCAGTTGATGAATTTGATTAAATAATAAAGTGGCTATAGCCGTTTTCCTCCCTTCTTCCCTGTCTCTGTTCTTCTTCTTCTCCCCCTCCCTCATCTCTTCTTGTTATGTTTATTGAATTATTCACCCTGCATCAAATGGGCTCCCAAGTAACGATCGATTCTTTGACTTTATATCTCACCCTTTGAACCTATCATAAACATACCTTCAACTAATCCTCATCTTAACATGTCATTTACAGAAAGAAACTTAAACTCATGGGGAGATGTAGGACAACAAGCTAACAAGGAGATACTAATTTACTCAAAGAAGCCAAAACAAATGTATGAGGGGAAACTCACACCCGAGGCATCAAAAGAGTTAGAACCGATGATACCTCCAGACACTCATGAAACTTCTCTTATTTCAGACACAATTGAGCTCTCAGATAATGCCCTAACTATTGCCCTCAAGAAACAATCTTGATCATGTTCTCTTCACCCTATCTCAAAATTTGTTTCCTATAATGCTCTATCTGCAGGGTTTCGTACTTTTTCTTCTAACCTTGATAATACAAAAATTCTAAGGGATATTCAAGAAGCCATGACTATTCCAAAATGGAAAGATGCAGTTCTAGAAGAAATGCAAGTGCTTGAGAAAAACAAAACTTGGGAGGTGGTAAAGTTACTGCAAGGAAAAAGATCTGTTGGGTGCAAATGGGTATTTAATGTGAAGTATAAAGTTGATGGGACAGTTGAACGGTATAAAGCTCATCTGGTTACAAAAGGATATACACAGACTTACGACGTTGACTACACAGAAACATTTGCTCCTGTTGCAAAATTGAACCCAATACGGGTTATTTTGTCCTTAGCAGCAAACTTCGATTGACCTCTCCAATAGTTTGACAAAATGCATTTCTGAATGGAGAATTAGAAGAAGAGGCCTTCATGACATTACCGCCAGGCTTCAAGGATGAAGAAAACAAAGTGTGTAAACTTAAAAAATCTTTATATGGTCTCAGACAGTCACCAAGAGCATGGTTTGACAGATTTGCAAGAGTGTTAAAAAGTCAAGGATATCAGCAAGTACAGTTAGACCATAAGATGTTTTACCAACTATTTGAAACTGGAACGAAAGCTATCCTGATTGTATATGTTGATGACATAATATTGACCAGAGATAATATATTGGAACTAGAGAGACTTATGAAAAACTTGGGAACGAAATTTGAAGTAAAAGATATTGGTCAGATGAGATATTTCTTGGGAATGGAGGCAGTCAGATCAAAGAAGGGAATTAGTGTTTCACAGCGAAAATACATTCTTGATCTTCTAACTGAAACATGCATGCTTGGATGTAAACCTAGTAAAACTATGGACCAAGGAAGAAAAGGGGAAGACACTAAAATCAATTAAAAATGATAGATATCAACAGTTAGTTGGCAAACTAATCTGCCTTTCACACACTAGACCTGACATTGCATTCGCAGTTAATGTGGTAAGCCAATACATGCATTCTCCAAAGGAAGCTCACTTAGAGGCAATATACAGAATATTTAGATATCTCAAAGGTACTTCTGGAAATGAACTCTAAGAAAAATGAAAGAAAGTGAGTAGAGGCTTTACTGATGCAGATTGGGTTGGATCAATAGAAGATAAGAGATCAACTACTGGCTACTGTACCTTCGTATGGGAAAATTTGGTAGCTAGAAGCAGTGTTGAAATTGAGTTTAGAGCTGTTGTATAAGGTATATGCGAAGGACTATGGATAAAGAAACTACTGGAGGAATTACAGATTGTTGTAAATCTTCCAATCAAGCTCTATTGTGACAACAAAGCTGCTATAAATATCTCTCTCAATCAAGTTCAACACGATCGAACCAAACACGTAGAAGCAAACAGAAACTTCATAAAATAAAAAGTTCAAGATGGGATTCTATGTATGACCTATGTACCTACAAAAAAACAAATTGCAGATATCTTCACCAAATGACTCTCTCGACCAAATTTCTAGAATTTAATTAGCAAGTTGGATACGATTAATATCTACGATCCAACTTGAGGGGGAGTGTAGAAATCTTGAAAGTTTAGGAAATATTTTTTATTACCTTGTAATTTGATTATGTTTGATTAGGTACGTTATTTAGATTAGGTAAGATTCATGTTTCCTTTTTTCAAAACTTACCTAGTTTAGTTCTCTACTTGTAAATGTTCTCTTTCTTCGCTTGTCTACACGATAGTGTTGGTGTGCACCTTTGGCTGTTATCCTAAATTTTTCTACTCTGCTCTGGAATTCACTTTCTTTAAACTCGGTCTATAACTGGAGTAAATTGTAAATCATGGATGCACAATTTCACGTTATTTATGTTTGGGAGAAAAAGAATATGAAAATAGTTGAATATTAACAATTCATCAACTCCGTTTATATACATATACAAGGTCTAAATCATATGCTAACAGAAGCTCAATCTGAGCAGGAAAACTAACAAAAATAAGTTGAAATTATTAGGTCACTCTGTATAAGTGATAATATTGTTACAGCAGCAGTCTTTAATTTCACACATAATTCTAAGAAAGGAGTTGAGGGATCATCATGATCATAAAATACATCAATGCCCTCGTAGACTGGACTCATATGAGTGTACCATGGATTAAAATCCCCCAGCCTCAGGAAAAGGGAAATACAATGCAATGCGGAAAAATAAAATAAAAAGAGAAAGGAGGAGGTTTACTAACTAACAGAACTTTTAGCAAACCAATCTTTTGCCAAGTTTCTGGCTTTGAAGTGGAAGTCCAATTCAGAACTCGTAGAAGTATTTTTCTTTCCATGGAAGTAGATTCTCTTTAGAATGGGCCACCATTACTACCAAATGAACTTCCAAGACTTGGATGATAAGATTGATTGACAGAAAGTTTCATTGTGTGCCTCCTTGATGATTTGTGTATGTCTATACATTCTTCAAGATCCGCGTCACATGTCAAAAGCACCCACTCAGATTCGTCATCCAAATATTTTAGGTCAACCTTATTGACATCATCTATTTTGAAACGTCTAAAAATTTCTCGTTGTAGATCTCCAAAACCCCAGTTTGGTTGCAGACTGAACCGGATCTTTTCTTCCCCAAAACTGGCTTTTACTCTTAAATTACTCACATCATGCAACACCTGGCTTCTACTCTTTGGCAGGGGAAGTGGAGCCTCAATAGATGCATGCTCACTGATTATCTTATGGCTTTGGGATCTAACCAGAAGCTTTGTTTCATCTTGGCCCAAGTCGAGTAATTCTGCATCACTCCGTGCTCTCTTTAGCATCCCTCCAGTCTGTTCAGCTAATAAAGCTTCTCCACTGCTGGAGACATTGAAGGGGAATGATGATTTCTTCAAACCGGTAGAACAGCAGAAACTAGAACTGGAGCTATGACTACCCGAAGAAGAAGGTGATTTTGAAGTAGTGTTTCCTGGGCTTAATAGGCTGCCATCGGGCTGTCTGTTCAACTGCTCTAAATGATCACTCATCTTGGATGTTGATAAGTGGCTGCTTCCTGGTAAATTTGGGGATACAAGTTCTGGGAAGTTGTTGTAGAAAGAACTAAGTTGAATAGAACCCTCGGCACCCTGGACTGAATCCATCACAACTTGAAGTTTCCTCAATGAGTGACCAACTTTTTTGATCTTTCGAGAGGGCCACCTTGTGATTCCATGCTGTCTGCATATTCTTTTCAAGGTTGTGGGACACACTGCAAGAGTAACAAAATGGTCATTTACATTGAGATGGAGATGCCTCTGCAATAACTTATGTTAAGACTAACATCTCATACCAGAGAATCCTGTTAATTTTCAACGAAAATAGCCCTATAATTCTACAAATTCTCATCAAAGTTCACATACTACTCTTAGACAGCCAATATGGCAGTGGATGCAAAGGGTCTTCTATCAGCTAATATCCTACTCATATAATACATCTGAAAGCTCAAAATGGAGGAATAAAAGCAAAGTTTGCCAGCACAACTAAGGTTCTAATTTATTCGATATTTATCATGATATGCAGGGCAGCTTATCAAAGATTTGAAAGCCAGAATTTGACATGTAGGTAAGGAATCTTATTGGAAAGTGTTTATATATCTATGCTAGTCGGGAATTGCTAGCTGAAAATCTCAACTCTATCCAACACTTTGAAGACCCAGAACTTTTGTGCAGAAAGGTCACGACATATTGAACTCAGAGAATCGGGGATCAGTAACAATTTGAAGTTTTCTTGGAATTTATCTAGACTAACACACTCTTTGTATTGAACAAGGGAGAAAGTCCATGACATATCATATTGAAACATTAATTAATATTGAAATTCATTTTATTTACTTGTGATGGTGTTTTCATACCCCCTATATTCTTGGCAGCATCTTTTAGACTCCCAGCAAAGTATTGCTGAAGTACTTGCAAGCTAATAGTCTTCTCAGTCTTGGTTCGCATCTTTTGACTTGTTCTTTTAGAACCTGAGGACGCATGCTCACTAACAAAAGAGAAGTCTCCAGTACCTTCGCCAGTTCCTTTGGATACAGAATCTTGCTGGATGTTATTCTCTGAGGATACCGGCACATAATGTATCTCCATCCCAGAGTTATCCCATTCTGTTGTCACCCGGAACTCTTCTGTCGGCTCCTCCTTGTGAGATTCCAAAGAATCAGACTTTGGAAATGAAGTTTCTACGGCCAACTCCTGATCCATAACAACACGTAAACTCTGACAAGATTGTTTTATGACCGAGGACAGTGAGTTGAGCATCTCTCTCTGGTCTTCAGAATCTTTACAATCTGGTGGCAAGAAAAATTCCAAAACAAAATCAGCTGTTCCAGTGTATGTACTCCTGAGACGTATTGCCACAGCAGCGCGCAAGTCAAACATCCTTGCGTGATGCGAGAGAGGATATTCCGTCTTGCAGAAAACTGTCATGTCCTCAGCAAAACATGGTTGATTTGTCATGAATGCTTTCCCAACAATGCCTTCGCCTTTAAGTAAATGATGATCTGAGCATGCCTTATGAAAGCCAACAACTTGTGGATCAGCCACATAGCAAGCAGAGTCAATCGTCGAAACACAATGAATATAGTTCTTGTCAGAGTGCCGGCAACCGCCTTTACCCTGTTGAATACAAGGCGCCCAGGCCTGTGCCAAAGGCAATTTATGTGTGGTGCAGACACATATCAAGACATCTTTAATCTCTGTCAAAGCGGCTCGGTAAGGCTCATTGCAATCCTGATACAAAATCGCAACTGCACTATTAGGATCTATTGTACAGATGTAGATGATATAATACTGAGCGTGTAAAGATTTTAACTACCTCCGCTTTCAGCGAACTCGGGATTTCAGAACTCTTCAGATCAACTGCCTGTAAGAGAAATTTTAGTTAGATAAAGAGAAATTATGCCCTTCAATTTAGTACATGATAAAGGCCGAACACGAAAGAGAACACATCAGTACATAAGAGCAGGGATGTACCACCGTATCTTCGTAAATACAGGAGGAAACGAAGCACAAAGAAATTTATTATTATTATTATTATTAATTATTTATGGCTTTCTAGGATCTCAAAGGTGAATCTTCATTGAGAAAACTCAGATGTCGTCATGACCTATTGAACAAACTCATTTAAAGGCTTAAATGGATGAGGTATGCTACAAATACAGGGTTTTTGTGCATAAAAATTTTCACTGAAACATCATTCAAAGATGGGGGAAAAAAACATAAAACACATATTGACAGGATTTTTCCATTTCAAAATCCCGTATGAATTTTGAAAGTTTTTCCTGTGCTCAGGGAAAATCTTAGAAGGACAAAGAGGAGGTAAATTTATTTTATCTATTTGATTTTTTTCAACAGCATACCCCTCTCGAGTTGGCTTGGCTAGACAATTTTTTTTAATAGAAGTCTCGTACATGTATAGTTTCGCTTTGTCTGCTCTAATATCATATCGAACAGTCTTATCAAAAATCTTTAAGCAATAGAAAGGGAAAAATTTAGGGGATGTTCTCTTCGTATTTCAATTTTTTGTGATTTGAGTTTTAAATTTATTTTGGATTTTGTGTTTTGAATGTCAGTTTTGAAATTGTTAAAAATATGTTATTTTCGTCATTTGGAAAAAATGTTTCTTAAATCATAGAATTGAAAATGCGTGTATGTTTTTCTCATTCTTTTTGTCTTCTACCATGGGCAATTTTCGCCCCCTCCATGAGCCGCCATCTTCTTCCTCATAAACCAACCACCACCCACCACCTAGACGAGTAGATCCCAGCATCACTCGAACCCCTCACCGCCCTCTACAACGTCCAATGATTATTTGACCAAGAACCTGCTGGAAATAGCCCCAACAAATTGCGCTACCACCACAGTTTCGGCCTTATTAAAACCATTGCCGGCCACCTTTTTTATCGAGGACCACCACCAATCCACTCCTCTCAACAAGGCGCATCCAATACTACCATGGGTCACCTTCAATTATGTCTAGAATCGGCTGATTTTATGGAAGCCGTCAATGAGTTTTGAAGCGAGTCGTCTGGGGGTGGGCAATCGATCGGTGGTGGTGCGTGACCTTGGGCATCGCCGGAGGTGGAGATTTCGGTAGAAGCAGTTTGCACCAGATCAGTTTTTGAGGATGATTACTGATCGATTTTGGTATATGTTTGGGTTGTTGTTTGTGTGGTAATCGAAGAGGGGATTGAGGCTTCACAATGGTATGTAAATCTGGTGGTTCTGGAGGAAGTTGCCCTGAGTTTAAAGGGTTGGAAAGTGGCAGCTCCATTGTTTTGGCAGAAGAAAGTTGGGGAAATGGAAATGACTGTTTTCCATGTTTTCATTCCAGGAGTGTTTGGCTTGAAAATGCCCGAAACGTCTTTTTGACGTTTTGAGTTTTATATATATATATATATATATATATATATTTCAAGAGTTCATTTTCGAAAATGGAAAAGAGAATACATTTTCACTAATTTGGAAAATCGTAAACAGCGAAGAGGATAGCCCTTTATATTTTGAACTTCTGTATTCAGCATGACCCTTGGGCAGAATACATGCTCAAAGTTTTAACTTGGACTGAGACTCTTAACAAACTATATTCAGCCAAGTTTAATGGGAGTTTTAACTTCTTCATGATTGAACAGAAAAATGAAACTGAAAAGCAAGTTAGAAGAAAGAAGAAGACAGTACCTCGAGAGCTTTACAAACGTTTTCAAGTTCAGGGACTTTCTGACTTGTTGTCAGAATCTCGACGACTCCCAAGCAGTTGCCGCTGCTTCTTTCGAAAACAGGAAGTGCAAGTGATCCGCTAACATTGTGCTGCTGTGCATGATCAACTCGTGGATATTCCTCTCTTTTGAAAAAGCGAACATCAGGAGTCCATTCTGGCAATTTATTCAAGAAGACCCGACCGGGCAACCCGACAAGATCCTTAGAGTCCTCCTCAGCTGCAAATTGATAATTTCGAGAGACATCTCTGTACTCTGCAAGACTCTTGCTGTTTGAATTCAATGAAAATGGTTGATTGTAAGTTGTGAGAACATGCCTGCCTCCTTTTTTTATGGGCACCCAAATCTGAATAAGGACGTCTCTATCTCTTGTGGAGTCTCTCAGGTACTCAATAGCCTGCACCAGTCTCTTCTTCGGTGAAATAGTACGGGTTGGATTTCTACTTGGTCCAACCCACAACCTTCTATTTGCTTCGGTGCCTTCAACCAGAAAATCCCAAGATTGGGATACAGATGTTGGAGGAGAAGTGCCTTGCTGGTTTTGCACTTGATTTCCAGGAAATTCATCCATTTGGGAAGAGTTAAAAGTTAGATTATCAATGAAATTTGGTCTTTCAATTTCTTTTAAGAAACTTTCCTGATGTGGAGTTGAGTTCAAGTTAGTATCTGAAATAGTAAAGGAGCATGGAGGAGAAGTTAAATTGGGTGAATTAGATGCAGTAGGCTGCCAAAAGTTGGATCCATAAGTAGTCTCTAACCAAAAACCGTCAAAGAAGAGTTCATCCATGAGATTGAAATTAATTGTGTTGTTGGATGCACCATCTTCCATGATGAATACTTGTCAAACTTCCATTCCATAAAGCCTAGAATCAATTGAGACAACAAAATCAAGATCCAAAACACAGAAGCAGCATAAATATGAAAAACAAGAAGAGGAACTTCCAGGAAGGATTCCTTTCCGTTGTCTTCGAAAACCCATTCAGCCCGGGAGGTAGTACAAACATCGTCTATTAAAAATTCTTTGCAACTGCAATCACAAATGCATTTCAGAGGGTAGAAGCCAAACACGCCGTCAAGCACAAGCTCAATAGCAGCCAATATTATTGTATTTCACGTAAAAAGGAGGGGGGTGGGGAGTAACTGGGTTGATGCTGGAAAAGATTTGAAAGAAAATCGCAAAAAATGTTTCAGGATTCTGAGCGACACAAATTCAAATACAAGCATCCAGTACTCTTTCAGCAACGGTAGAAGAAAGAAAAAAGTTCACAAAAATGAAAATAGAGGTGAAAAAAGTCATAGCAAAGGCACTCACTTTGAGTATATTCTTTGGGAATCCTTCGAGTGATTGGTAGATATGATGATTACTGGTAATTGTTCGCTTCCAGTCTCAGAATCTTATCCACAATAAAAGAACATTTCTGTTTCAAATATTTGTTTCTTGGAGGTTGTTTTTCGGGAAATAGGGTGGGTGAGGACTGACTCAAAGATTGATTTAATGAGAAAAGTGGCGAAGTTGAAGTTGCTCTTATTATGCAAAAAATGCCGCTTCCGCTGCTCATGATAATGGGACCCACGAAAAGGACTCAAAAATTAAAATCCAAAGGAAAATGCTGTTCGAACAGGGTAATGTCGGCCAGGGGCTATAGGCGACGCCAGCTCTTCTAGCACGGCCCAAAATGAAAATGGCCCTTGTTTGATAGAAAAGTCAACAGTTAATTTTAACCATATGTTTTATGAGATCCACAACTTTTTAATCACACATTTTAATAACTTTTATCAAAATTTATTAAAAATTTTATTTTAATCCTCACCAAATAAAGGTCGGATGTAGCTGAACTTCAACAGCAGCTCAAACTTCCATGTCATGAATTCAGGATTCATGTTACTTTGATTTGATGCTTATCACTTGGAACTATTCCTCTTAGCATCTTCCATCTTCTTGAATTTTTGTGACCTCAAGATTGCCACATAATATAAGGGATAATTGCAGTCACACTTCCAAAGCTCTCAAATTTTTATAACTTTTACCTTAACCTTTTATTTTTGCACCATTGATAAACCTTTCAATTGTGTGTGACTAGAGGACAAATGGATTATTTTCATCCTAATTATCGGCAATTGACAAAAAAAAAAAAAAAATTGACCACATTTTAATCAATTTTAAAAGAACAAAATGGTAACTTCACAATTTTCACATGAAAATAAATAAAATTACGGGGTAGTGGGTTTTGTGCCCCTCACAATCTTCACCCATTCATGGTTTACTTTTCTTTTCCAATCTCTATGGTTTTCAAAATTCATATCTTCACAACTCACGGACCAAATTTGACTCCTTGTAGGCGCAGTGTACAAGTAGCTCTTGTTTCCTGACCTGATGGGGCATATTTCGTGATTTACCTCTCTCACAAATCTCGAGGCGGGAGGTGATGAGGGCCCTCAAGTTTGTGGTTCTATCTTTTTTAAAACAATGACGGATCTAAAGAATTAGCTTTGGTGCCAGTTGTCATTTTTTGTGCTCTTCATTTTGGGAACAATGATAGGATTCTTTAATTCCTGATTTTGATATTTTTTGTGTTTATAGTTAGAAAGTAATTGCTTTTTTAATCTATTAATTTTGTTACTTACATATTCAACAAATGTATTGAACAAGTGCTATGGACCTGGGAATGGCTATGGGAGTTCTTAGAGGGCATAATAAAGTCGATGCTAGCACTGGCAATGATATTGGTGACGGTGATATTGTCATATTTTCATAGGTTTGGTTTGAAAGACGAAATGACTCATTCTGTTTTTAGGGCTTTTCTTCAACTATTAGTTGTTGGGTTTGTTCTATAATTCATTTTCACTCAGAAAAATATTAAATGGATCGTTCTAGCATTTCTTTTCATGGTATATTTTTCTCTTTCTCTCTAGTTTTGATTGCTTATGGATATTCACGTGATTTATTTTTAATCAGTTTAGTTTTTGTAAGAACATTGATGATCCTTTCATTGTAGTAATCAGAATTCGGAACTTGGTTAGCAAATGGCAAGGAATGGAAGAAGGTTGTTTGTTGTAATAGTTCACCATGGCGGCGGCGATGTTGTGGTGTTCGTGGTTGGCAATAGCAATGGCGATAGCGGTGGTCGACTTGTTTTGGTTGGGTGGAGTGGGGTGTGGTGGGGTGGGGATAGATGGGGAAAGGTGGGGGTTGGGGAGAAAGAAGATGGATTATTTATTTATTTTGTTGGTTTTTTATTTAAGTTTTTTAATTATTTTATTTGAAAAATTAAGGTTACCATCTTGTCCGTTTGAAATTGATTAAAATGTGGTTAAAATCACTTTTAGGTCGACTGACGACAATTTGTACAAAAATCATTCATTTGTCCTCCAATCGTATGCAATTTAAAGCTTTACGATTGATGATGCAACAATTGAAATGTTGGTATAAAAATTGTAAAAATTTGAAAGGTCAGGACCGTAGCTACAATTATCCCCACAATAAATTACCCTCCAAGTAAACTTGACTTTCAACGTTAGTTAAACTTCCAAAGTTGGTTAGCCTTCCTCGATTTCTTGCTCCCATTCTTGCTCGTAAAAAACACAAAGAAGGAATTTTTGTTAGTGAAGTGATCCAAGGAGAACAAAGTTCAATTACCTTGACAATCAAGATTTTAGCTTTGGCGATATGTACAACATTATGGATGACCTAATTGTTGAAAAAAAATAATAATAAGTTGCCTCCAGGGCATATCTCCCAGTGGCAAAGGGGAGGGCGGATAGGGCTCAGTGCGGCAGTGTGCAGAGTTCGATTCCCCGCAAGGTGGAATTGGCTTTGTTGCAAACGGGAGTTACCATATGGGTTAACAGCCTTAGCCTATCCATGTGCTCTCCACCCTGGCTCCTGGGAGGCATATCCTGCGATTTACTTCCTCCACGATGGCCCAGGGCAGGGTCCGTGGGGGCCCTTAAGGTTGGGGTTCAACCTTTTTAAAAAATAATAATAAGTTATAAAACTTTCAAATTAAATATTAAAAAATTTCAGTTTTTTATTTTAATTCTTAAGTTTTGTTTTATTTTTTATTTTTTCAGTTTTGTGTTTAATTTTAGATTAAAAACAAAATTTAATCCCATTATTATATTTGTAACATATGTTGAATTTTATTAATTTTCATAATGAGATGGTTGAATTCTTCTTATTGAAAATCTTTATCATGATTCTTCCATGGTTCTTAATATGGAAGTCAGTTACTTGTGGCATGAACGATTGGGTCATGTTGGTAATATGAAGATCAAGAAACTTATATCTAAACTTGATTCCAAAATCTCAAATTGGTAGTAATAAGTGTGAAGTTTGTGTACAAGTCAAACAAACTAAGAGACCTTTTAAATCTGTTAGAAGGGACACAAACCTTTTAGAATTGATTCATAGTGATGTTTGTGATTCTAATAGATTGCCAACAATAGCTGGTAATAAATATTTTGTAAATGATAAGTTCAAAATCTATAAAGCGGAGGTTGAAAATCAATTAGAACGTAAGATAAAAATTTTGAGATCGATAGAGGAGGAGAATATACTGGGAATAATCTTAACGATTACATGAGGATAATGGTATAATACACGAAGTAACACCCCCTTATTCACCAAAATCCAATGGTACTGCAGAAAATGAAGAATAGAACTTTAATGGATATGGTAAATGCTATGCTCATAAGCTCCAGAGCACCTAAAGACTTATGGGGTGAAGCTGTCGTAACTTCTTGTAACATATTGAATCGAGTAATTGTTAAAGACAATATTAAAACTCCATATGAGCTATGGAAAAAGAGATCTCCTAGATTAGATTTTCTAAAAGTGTTGGGGTGTTTGGCAAAGGTAATTATATACCTAGTCATAAAAGAAAGAAAATAGTACCAAAAACCGTTGATGCTATTTTCATAGGATATGTTCAAAATAGTAGTGCAAATAGGTTCTTGATTAGAAATTCCGAAGTAGGTGACATTAAAAATAATACTATCATTGAAGCTAGAGATGCTACTTATTTTGAAGATGTTTTCCCATTAAGACTACAATTTAAAGTGAACCCTCGACTTCTAAGAAAGTTGTTTTAAATAATACTCCATCTAGTTCATCTTTAGAAGATATAGTTGAACATGAATTTAGGAGGAGTAAAAGGACTAGGAAAGAGAAATCATTTGGAAAAGAATTCTATAAATATTTAGTTGAAGGTGAACCTGAAACATATAAAGATGCTATGGTTTCTATTGATGCACCTTATTGGAAAGAAGCCATCAATGATGAGTACGAGTCAATTATACAAAATAATACTTGGGTTTTATGTGATTTACCTCGAGGAAGTAAGGCAATTGAATGTAAGTGGGTATTTAAAAAGAAGTTAAAACATGATGGAAGTATAGATAAATATAAAGTTAGGTTAGTAGCTAAAAGATTCACCCAAAACGAAGGAGATGATTATTTTGATACATATTCTCCAGTTGCTAGAATAACTACTATTAGAACATTGTTAGCATTGAGTAGTATTCATAAATTGATCATTCATTAAATGTAAGTTAAGACTGCATTTTTGAATGGTGATTTGAATGAAGAAATATATATGGAACAATTAGAAGGTTTTAAAGTCAAAGGACAAGAACATAGAGTATGTAAATTAATGAAGTCATCACATGGACTAAAACAAGTTCCTAAACAGTGGCATGAAAAGTTCAATAGAGTTATACTAAATTATGGATTTAGAATTAATACACATGACAAGTGTGTATATTGCAAAGAAGATAACAATGAGCATGTAATACTTTGTTTATATGTAGATGATATATTAATATTTGGGACAAATTTAGTATTTGTTAATGATGTGAAGGGTCATTTGTCCAAGAACTTTGAAATGAAAGATTTGGGAGAAGCTCACATAATTTTGGGAATGAAGTTAAGGAAAACTTCTAAAGGAATTTCACTAAATCAATCTAATGCTATTAAAAAGATATTGGAAAAGTTTGGACATTATGACAATAAACCAGTTTCCACTCCATATGATTCAAATGTAGACTTGAAGAAGAATTTAGGTGAACCAGTTTTGCAATTTGAGTATTCTCAAATTATTGGATCTTTGTTGTAGCAAATAGGACAAGACCTGATATAGCCTTTGCTATTGGGAGACTTAGTAGATATACTAACAATCCAAGTAAAGAACATTGGAACACTCTAGAAAGAGTGCTTAAATACCTCCGAGGTACATTAGATTATTCTATAAAATATAAAAACTTTCCAAATGTTATTGAAGGATATAGCGATGCAAACTGGATAATTGA